TTCAAAAAAAAAATATTAGCACCTAATGTATCTAACTTTTCTAATAATCACTTTATCGTTGGCACCTTGTGAAAGGATCAATATCGCCCAAACAAAAAAAAAGGACAAATGGAACAGGGAGATAAATAACACCCCTGCCGAAGCGGGATTCGAACCCGAAATCTTCTTGATATGAGGCCGACTCCTTGAACACCATACAGCTTGCTCGGCTTATTTCATCGTTTTATTTTCGATTGTCAAGACCTAATTCTAGTCAACCATGTCCCACAATGCACTACGACTTCGTGTTGTGGAAACATTTTCGTCATAAATTTGAGAGTTCGCTTTTTGTCAAAAATCATATCACGAAATGATTATCATAATTAAAGAATTAAAGCTCAAGGATTGCTGAATCTTCAATAGTGTGGATTTTGTTTGTGAGAGTGTTTAACCTAGAAAACAGCAAAAAGGGAGGACTTTTTGTGAGAAACTGTAAAACCGTTCGTGGTTAGCCTGAAAATAATGATATGTAGTAACCCTTATATTCAATATAGTTAAGGTGACAAGAGGCTTATAAACTTTCTAAAACGTGAATCCAGATTAGTTTCAACCTTAAAATAGCGAGACATATTAATGTGAAACTAACCAGCCTTTGCAATGCCCAAACCAAAGTAGAATTACCTCGATAATAACGTTAATTTGTCAACAATAACGCACCAACTCATAATTTGTTTACTTTTTGGATTGGTTTATTGAATATGCTCAAGTCTTAATTTAATTCCCCTAAAAATTGAAAAACTAACCAGTGAACCATGTGAAACTAATCAGTTTTTACAATGCACAAAACCACGCAGGATTATCTCGATAATAGTGAAAATCAACGACCCATAATTTGCCTACATCTTGGATTGTTATACATCAGAGTTGACTAGTATAAAGATACTCCTAGCTGATTGAGCCTGAACCTGGAATGTCTGGCTCCAAATGTTCATGCAGCTTGAACACTGATGAAAACCAATTTTTTTTTCTAGTTTAAACTTCGTAATTATTAAAACAATAGATCGATTGTAACTGTTTTACTAGTTTAAATTATATAATATTAAATAATATAAAAAGTTTAAAAAATCCACGGGTTCGTAGAATACCTCATAGAAAAAAGAAGGACTCAGCACGGGTTACCGTAAAAAGAAATTTGATCTTTTAGTAGTCCAAACATAATGATATCTTTCTTAATAACCCCCACTGCGCAGCTTAGTAGCCCGATAGTAGTGACATCTTTCTTGCTTTTCCTCCACTGAGCACTTTATGTTCGTTACGGCAGACTACTAAATTCATCCATGGTTAACCCTACTTTCTTTTACAAACCAACACTTGTTGGTTCGTATCATTGAGTTTCCACAGAGATAAGTTTTTCACAGTAGAAAAGAAGATACTATAATGATGTAAACGAGTGCAACTGTATTTTTATGAAAACAAGAGCACAAAAACAAAGAGCTAGCTAATAATTTTAAGAATCACAGAAGGTAAAAAATATAATCAGCAGCTTTTTTATCACAAAATAATCTAACAATGTCCACAATTCACTGGGTCATTAGATTCAACTGAACTGCTAACTAAACTTGAACGTAAGCATAAGTAGGGTCTCGCAGATGAATAGCTGTACTGTCCGGCTACCGGCTATTATGAGAGCTCTTTCAAACAACCAGGCTCCCACGATGTTGGTTGTATTGTTTAAGAGGATAAATTATTTAAAATAGAGATGTAGGGTTAACCGTTCTGCTTAGTAGTTTGGGTGAGTCATGTCATTTTTACATTGATTCTTATTAGAAATTGCTTTATTCTTGTTTCCATAGGAGCGGGATGAGTTCTCGCGGTAGCTGGACAGTAAACTGCTTACAGATGGCATTCTTTACAAGCCCTTAGGAATGTAAGTGGGACTTTCTGGGAATTTCCATAGTACAATATAAAAAGGATAATAACCATTAAAGGAAGTTTCCGGAATATCTGGACGATTTTTGTGTATTTGGGTTATTCTAAAAAATAAGTCGATTTATTGCGAATGTAGCCTAAACAATTGAAATTGGAAAAGTGGTCATATCACACGGTGCTAAACAGATAGATGACGATTTAAGCATCGGATAAAGAATAAAACACATTGAATTGGCCATAAAACATTAGTTTAATGCAAAAATAACCAATATTTATAAATTATTTTCAAAAAATTATAACAGTATTTCTACGAGTACCATACTGTTTAACATGAAAGCAATATTCTTGCAACAAATGATTCCAATATATTTATATCGATGCAATTACAGCATATTATGTCTGTGCACTTAATTCTGGAAAATTATACACAATGAAATCAGACTAATTATAATTGCGTTTTCTTGCATTGTATATAAACCTCGGACCATTCCGTTTATTGAAATAGTTCGAGGTCCACAAACTATGCAATTTCATTTGAGAATGTTTTCGCGTACCCATTCTTTTCCTCCTATATTCAGAATGAAAAGGGAAAGTGTATATGTGGACTACATTCCGTTCACCTAGAGTTGCCTGGATTAGAAAAGGAAACAAATGTCCAATCCCTGCGGGAATTATCTCCTTATTAGAAATGAGGTTGCGAAATTATAGGCCATGATGAGATTATAGTTGGAATCTTTCGGCCACTAAAGTTTATTCTTGTCAATGGAATAAGCTATTTTATTGAATATTACCATCCATGTGTTTATGTTTCTTAGTGTTGTTCTTTGCTGATTTACACTTAAACAGATTAGAAGTGATAATTCAGAATCTTCTCAAAACAGCCGAGTTATCATTTTATGCCTGTTCCCTTGAAAAAAAATGGCGTATTTTTTAAAAGAATTTAACTATTGAATGTAACATTTAAAATGTTTTATTTAGCGCAAATATTTTTTTAAGTGCTTATACGAGATATCAGATTTTGCTTAGATTGTTTTACTTCGAAAAAGATCAAGAAAAACCTATACATAGAACACTGAGATTAGACACATATAAATTATATAGGAATATTTTAAAATTACAAATGTGTATAAGAAAATTCTAGCGAATCCTGATACATTTAGAATCAGTTATTGCTCCAGCAGATTTTTTTTCCTTTTATATATTTCTATTCAAAAATATTCTAGAATTTCGACAATTGAATAACTGCAAGTCACGTCATCTTAAGCAATCGTGGCATTTCTGGATTCAGAAATCCATTAGGTTTGACACGTACGCGTGACGTCACTTACCAGCATCCAATTAAATCTGATTTAAATCATATATTTTGGCATAATCACAGATTTGTCATTATCTTCTTAAGTTGGGAAGTATCCAATTGGCAAAATTGAGCGGAATTTTCTTCCCTACTCGCTATTTTTTAACATGGTGGAAGCTTATTATTTGTCTCTGAATTATATAAAGGGTTAAAAAAAATTCTAAAATTTATTTAAATTAAAAGTTCTAAATTTTAAGGTTAAAACTTATTATTTTTTACATCATTTTTAAACGACCAAAAAATTTTGAAGAACTTAGACTAATTTACTTTTATACAATTGTTTTATTTTTAATAAGCTATTACTGTTTGCAGGTTGAAAGTTATTCAGATATTAACTCTTCCAAATCAATTTCGATAAACAGGGGTAACAGAAGCTATAACTTCTTTTTTCCTCTTGATGATATTTCACAAACATTTTTATACAATCCTCAAGTTTCTGCAAAATGTTTTTTACCTAGTTGGTTTCATGGATTATGATTCAAACGGTGCTCAACTTAGTCTTCTTTTCTCTACCATCCTCAGTACAACGTTTGGTACTCTAAAACTTGAAAACTTGAAACCTTATTTTGTAAATATAAAAATGTAATTCTAATTTACTTTATTGAAATGATGAACAGTAGGCCAACAAAATGGACCACCCTGAATAACTTTTGATCTAATGTTCGGATCTTCACGTTCTAGGACTTATTCTTAATGATTTGAGAAGGTGACCTCAAATATGCTAAAAAATAAGTACAGGCGATATTTTAAGCTACAAAATCAGGCACAAAAACGCACTTTCTCTGAATAAACATAAATTTTTTTCAACGGATTCGGATATCTGATCCCCAAAATATAGGGGATACCTGGGGATCTGAGGGATATAGTCCAAATAGTTTGGTCGAGAGAGCGTTCCAAAGTTTGGATCCCTTAATGTATTTTTTTTTTTGCGTATTTCACTATATCTTACAAACTTTCTAAGCGATTTTTTAAAAAAAATTTATTACATAATTATGCAAGTCATTTATCCAAAGATTATCCAATACAAAAAAAAACGTTCAGTAATATTTATTATTTTTTGAATGTATTTATATTTTAATACTTTTTTATAAATTTATATTCATGTTTTTATACTTAATTATATATTTATATTTTGATACTTTTATTTTTTAATGTATTTATATTTATTACTTTTTAGTAAATATTTTTTTTTTAAATTTGAATTGTAAAGTACATTATTTTTTGCATCATTCTAAAGAATGTAATTTCATATAGCAAAATGCAAAGTTTGTCCAAAATCGGTGAAAATAGTTCCTGAGAAATCAAATTTTAAATATCTGACTTTTTTAACGTTTTATTCAGCCTTACGTAATCTATGTATCAATCGGTAGAGTATTTGATTCCGGTAGATTCATATTTTTATTACATTTAATTCCCTCAAATAAAAGGAAAATATTTTCTAAAAATAAATACGAGGGTTGTCCATAAAATAAGGTTCCCAAGGAACTGCGGACGCTAGGAACGCTGTTAAGCGGGATTTGTTGAGACTGGCGTGTAACTTGGCTCCCTTCCCCCAAGTTCCCACCCCGGCGAGGTATCTACAACGTTAATTCTTGTCTTGGTAGTCGTGAAAGATGGAGCTTCTGTTTGTTTCTCACGCCAGGTGCGAATTACGCTCTGTGATTTGTTTTTGAGTGCAAAAAATGTTCCTCTGGTGGACATTCATTCCCAACTCTGTGAGGCGTACGGGGAAGAGTGTATGAGTGTGCAACATGTGCGCAAATGGTGCAGAGAATTCAAAGACGGACTTACAGACGTCCATGACGAACAACGTTCTGGCCGGTCATCGTTTTTGGACGAAGCGATTGAGAAAGTGGAAGAAGCAATGCTGAAAGATCGAAGGGTGACGGTTCGGGACCTCAGCGAGATGATCCCTGTTGTCAGTAAGTCCTGCATTCACAACATTTTGAGAGTCCGCTTAGGATATGCCAAGGTTTGGGCAAGGTGGGTCTCTAAAATGCTGACGGATGACTATGACAACAAACGGACACGTGTGGAAGTCGCCTGCGAATTTCTTCATGCCTACGAAACCGATGGGAAGGAATTTTTGGACTTTGTTGTCACTTGGGACGAGACCTGGGTCCACTACATGACACCGGAAACAAAAGAACAATCCCGTTAATGGAAGCATCCAGGCTCGCCAAAGCCGAAGAAGTTTAAGCAAATGTTTTAAGCTGTCTGTTTTAAGCCATCTTCGCGGAGCGGCGGCAGAGTTCTACGACTCAGGCATAAAGAAGATGGTACACCGCTTGTAAAAATGCATTGATCTAAATGGCGATTATGCCGAAAAAAAGAGAGAAGTCTAAGCTTTCCAAACATGTATTATTCAATGCCAATAAACATGTTTTTCATTGTGAAAATTCGTTGGGAACCTTATTTTATGGACAACCCTCGTACTTTTGAAAAAATAAATACTTTAAAGACATTTACTGGCAGTTTCAAGATATTTAGTTCAGTTTAGTTGCAACTACCCTTCTTAATTATTTAAGAACTTATCGACTGCTATGTCAAGGAATTGTCATAAGATAACATAAGAATGAACAAAAGATAATTAGTTCAGTTTAGTTGCAACTACCCTTCTTAATTATTTAAGAACTTATCGACTGCTATGTCAAGGAATTGTCATAAGATAACATAAGAATGAACAAAAGATAATTAGTTCAGTTTAGTTGCAACTACCCTTCTTAATTATTTAAGAACTTATCGACTGCTATGGCAAGGAATTGTCATAAGATAACATAAACATGAACAAAGGATAATTAGTTCAGTTTAGTTGCAACTACCCTTCTTAATTCTTAAGAACCCTTCGACTATTATGGCAAAAAATTGTCATCTTGTACCCCGCTTGCTAGTTGATAAGTATCCTCTCATATACTTGAAATCATTTCATGTGATATTGGGAAATAAATTCAAATATTATTTAAAAATACATTTAGATATTTTCTATCAATAGATTTAAACATTTTATCTAACAGTAGCATTTTATCTAAAATATAACTAATATTAAATATTATGAAAAACAATAAATTCAAACATTATCCAGAAATAGATCATGTATCATGTAATTTAGAAAAAAATATTTATTCTAAAAGAATTGCAACGTTCAAACTTGAAATTAAAAAAACAATGTTTTAGAAACCAAACTTTTTTTAGCATCAAAAATACAGAGACATATACTTGAAGAAAGATTTTTAATTATTTTTAAATTTAATTTTGATCCCCAAAAAGTTTAGTTTTCAGAGTTATTTTAGGAGAAACACATCGCAATCGTCTCTTGAGAATTTTATTTGTTTTGTTGCCAGATTCTCAATCGATCAGAAGAGCAACCAATTAAAAGTAGTAACTTATGTGAGGAATAAAATTAAAAACAGGGTGCATTTTATGTCCCTGAAATAAATATTTAAAAAAAATTTACTTTTTAATTTAGCATGGTTTACTTTTCTCTCATTAAATATTTGCTTTTAAATTACTTTTTGTTAAAATCTTTTTCTTAAAAAAAAGTGAATGAATTAAAAATAAATATAATTGCCATTCAGAACAGAATAAGTGCTTCTTCCGTTTACTGTGTCGCAAACTCATTAATTTTTGAATATTAATAAAGAATTATTTAAAAACATTCCAAGAAGATTTACAAGCGAAACGTAAAAGTTTTTAATTAAGATTTAAAGCACTTTTTTTTAGTTCTGAATGTTTTATTTTTAATTAAAAGCAAAATTAAAGTGCTATATGCTTGTAGATTGCAGTAAAGGATATTAAGTTACCTAGCTTATGATATTTTTATTCCTCGACTTTAAAATATCAAGATTTGCACTGTAATTTCTAGAAAACTGTATGCATTTTGCTATATAAATGATTTTGAAATAAAGCTAAAGAAATAAAAAAAAATTTAAATATTACAAAACAGCTATCCTAAAGTTGATGGATTTTGCAGAAATGTGTCTTTGTGAGCCCTTTGAACATAACAATGACAGTAAAATGTAAAAGACGGATAATTTAAATTCACGATATTTTCTACGCTTTTGACGAAATTGCGTTCTGAAAGATGCTCTCGGTGAGTATTTCATCAATTTGAGGAAATTACTATCGTCAAAGTTAGAAAATACTAATTTTGTCAAAAGCATTAGGTCCATTCTTATATATCAATAAACACACACTGTTAAAAATTCCAGATCAACTAACGGTAAAATGTTCCATGTGATCATTCATCTTACAGAATGGGGAGTATGATTTAATTTTATTTCTGCGTCTGTTTCATTAGGCAGAGTTTTAAAAACTAAGTTATGTTTATGTTGCACCAAGAAAATATAGTTTTTTAAATTTCAACAATCGTTCGTATAAATATTAATAACAGAAGGAATTATAAATGAATTTTGAAAATTCCGAGTTTCTTCAATAATAAAATTTATAGAAATATAGTTATATAATTAAAACACTATTTTCAAAATAATTTATCATATTCAGCTCGTCCGATGATTGGTTTAAAAAGCTGTGCAGTTCTTAAAAAGAAATTTAAATTATAAAATTTCAGAATGATCAAATAATACTTTGAAAAATGAATCTTTCAGAGGTTTAAAATTATTTGAACGTATTTCTATTATGGATAATAAAATTTACTTATTTCATCTAGATGGAACACTTAAATCCCTATTGGAACGCCCTGCTTGATGACAATGACAATTTCAATCGTTATCTGAGAGCTACATACAAAATGTTTTGACATATTGCAATCACGGATACTAAAATATATTCTATGTTTTGATTAACTTACTTAGGCCGGGATAACCTGGTCGGTAGGGCGCTAGGCCCATGTCCGAGAGTTCGTGGATTCGAACCCCACCAACCGAAGACTCTCCGTGTAGTAAAGTGACTGATGCACGTTAAATCTGTCGAGTCGCAAAAGTCCTCCATGTTCCCATAACAAATCAATACCTCTGGGGGTGCAGCATTGGAGATTGATCGTTCTCTGATTCAGATCAAATTTACGATCTGTGGATGAATGAATGGATGCGTGAATGGGTCCGCCCTATAAACAGGCGCGACGTATGGAATGGCAGAAGTCGAATTCTTGGTCAATAGATGGCGCCACTGGAAAACAAGAACAATCGCACCCCCTCTGCCTAAACAGGCATACGTTCACTTACATTAACTTACTTACTTCCCTTTGATAGTAAAAATCTTGCAATCAAAATTTTTCAACATTTCTCGTATGGATTAAAATTAACTTTAAGTAACCATTAAGATTGGCTTTCGGGATGTGAAAATCTAATTATCAGAACAAAAGATTTTTAAAAGATATACTTTTTTTTTACTCACTGTACCATTTTTAAGATAATTAAAGTTTTCAAGCGATAGTTTTCAGGAGAAGTTTTCGAACAATAATTTGAAGACAATTGTGATTTCCAGGAGGTGATGTTATATTAGTCTTATTAAACTGTTCAACGGTTATTTATGTTGTAAATTTTGAAATCTTGCAGATATCAGTATATGAAGTTGCTAAGAAGTTGCTAAATGTTTTCAGAGTATAAGGAGATAGAGAGTGTATTTGGTAATAAACCTACAGTTGGCAAGAATCCTTAGAAAACTTGTCTATTGGTAAGAAATCAAAAAACCGAGGATGAAAATAAGTGCTGGGGATTCATAAATTTTCCTATTTGGAAGATTTCGGACTAGAAACAATTGCATGACATAACTTTCATTTAGAATTTATAAGGTAAAACCTTTGAAGCTATTTTGCTTAACTCTACTAAAAACTTTCATCCGGTTCAGATATTCAATTATACTGAAATAACAAAATAGTGTTTAAAAACTACTTGAAAACATAAATAATAAGCACACTTATTTACGATAATCACTTATAACCTTCATCCACTTAAATCTTCGCCTAAAACTTGCAAGCTGGAAGGTTTTGGACTATAATTAATTGTGAGGTATAACTTTTAATTCCCAATTTTAAGATGAAAAAAGTTGAAGCCATTTTACTCAAATTTACTAAAATTTTACTAAATGCCTTAATATACTCAGATCTTCACGCATATTAAAATCACAAAATGGGGTTTAAAAACGTTAAAATGTTGATTAAAAATGCATTATAAATTTAAAGCACAAACACAAAACGCATTTCCTCATGATATGCAAAACAGAACGAAAATAAAAATAATCAAAGTAAGGCATGTTATTTATTTCCTTCTGTCAAAGTATAAACTTTAATACTATCTTACTTACATTCACTAAAATATCACTTAAAACCTTCATTCACTTAGATCTTCACTTAAATTTACAAGTTGTAACTTCTAATCTTAAAGGAGAAGTATTTGAAGCTATTTTATTCAAATTCGCTAAAATTTTACTAAAAGCCTTCATCTACTCAGATCCTCAGGAAGACTAAAATAACAAAATAGTGCTTTAAAGGATTAAAATATTCATTAAAAACTACTTAAAAACTCAAGTAATAAGCACATTCTACTATAATACGCAAAATGGAACTAATTTAATTGATATAATTCCACGTTCCAAAAATAAATCTAAACAAAAATATATAATGGTCAAACCGCTGAAGAAAACAGAGTTCTATCACTTCATTTAGAACAAATAGTACAACTAATCAAAAACCTGCAATCTTCGTGAAGTACTAATGACAAATAGTACAAAGCGGGCACTGATTGCATTTTAATAGTTGCGAAAATAACACCTTAACTACTGCTCTTAGAAATGTAATGCCGTAATAAAAGATCTTTCGCTAATGGTAAACGAATGATTTTTGAAAAGGTAGTTTCGACGAGTTTAAGCTTCTCCCTGCTTTTTATTTCGCTCAGCAATCTAAATCATCATAATTACACTTTCTGCAAAAATTCTTCATCTTTTTCATTTCAAACGATTATTATATCGAAACATTTATTTTTATGATATTCAAGACTGGAATTAACCTTGAACCGTAACTGTTTGGGAAGCGGAACTGCAAGGTGAGTGGAAAAAATTTTTCGGATGTCATGGTACTTATGAATTTCATGATGAAGAATTATGTTTAAAAATGTATTTATAACTCACGATTCTTAAAATGAAATACGGGAGGACCGGAAAGGTTAAAAGAAGGTTCTATTGCACTTGAATTTTAAAAGAAAACAG